TAAATTGATGGTTTATAAGCAGTTTTGAGTGTGAACTACTTTGCGTTGTTAAGTCTGTGAGGAAATTTTGTGTTAGACCGTGGATGTTAGCTATGTATTTACTGATCTTGCGATCAGAAAATACAAAAATAACAGATCATTAGGCTAGACGGGTGATAACGAGATCCCTCAGAGAATTCCTTTGATTTTATCTCATCATAGGAAGTTAACCAATAGTTCACCCTAAATTCCCCTAGAATTTTGTCTGATACCTTATTGATAAAACTTGATGTTCTGGCTTGTATTGTTAGAATAAAAATTGAAAGATTTTCTTGACATTTATATTTAATAACAGGAAGGCGACAGTACAATGGTGTCAGTGCAACAATACGATGGTGACGTACGAGGGGTAGAAAAAGCATTGTGGAGCGCACCTTAGTGACTGAAATTTTTTTTTTTTATTCTGTCAGACCATCAAAGAACTCTCTCTAAGTAGAAATTACCTTTTAAATCGTTCTATCCATTTTCGGAAAGATTCACGGTACTCAGAAGCTGGTATACGTTTCATACAATGATAGACACTACAGCTAATACTGGTTCTGGATTCGTATAATGACGACCTGCAAGCATTTCTTTAAAAATTTTGATACAACCAAACGTCACAAGGGGCGAGGTCTAGGCTTATGGGTGATGCGCAATGACTTTAATGTAGAATTCTTGCAAATAATTGGCAACAACAGCTGTTTTATAGGCCGGCGCGTTGTCATGGAGGAGATGAAGGCCCGCGTGCCTGTGCTCGGGCGTCGCTCTGTGTACACAATGACGAACGTTTTAAGAACCTGCTCTTCAATATACGGACCCATTTTGTAACCGCACCATATTGAAGTGCATTTTCTTCACAGACTTTCCGCAAATCTGCATGGATATCAGTTGCAGAAAACCCAAGTTTCGAACGAATTTTGCTTTATACCCTTTGCTCTAATTTAAATTCCGCAATGTTTTAGCAAGTTTAATAAGGCAATATACATGTACCATCACGTGGTCAGTTCAAGTGAAGCGTAAAAAGCACGAGAAAGCGGGCACGGCAATCAAAGGTGTCTAGTACGACGATAGTTCGACGGTGATAGTGCGACAGTACAATCGTGACAGTTCGATATTGCAATGGTGACAATACGACAGCACGGTGGTGACAATATGATAGAACGCCGGACAGTCACTACTAAGAAATACTACTGTAAATTCGGTATCTTTAGCGATGTTTTAATTTTCGCTTTTATTCGCGAATCGGTTGCGTCGCCAATTCATGATACCGCATAAATTTTATAACACAACATACATTATACAAATTATATCCGATACAAAAGTCTTCAAATTTTGATCAAATTTAATAATGAATACTTTTAAAATCATTAATTTGTACAATGTGATATTTACATAATAATAAAGGTATGAAGCTTTACTAACATATTTTTTTCCAATTATTTTTATCATGTTTATATGTTAGACACAAAAAGCTTATATATTTTTCCGACAATTACAACAAACTAATGCACTTTACAGATAAAATGGAACACAAATTGTTTAGATAACGATAGAGTAACGTTATATCTGTGATCAGCGGACAATTTTCACACTTAAGGTATAATAAACACGTATAATTCATAACACCTTTGTTACAAACATTTTACGTTTTATCAAAAGCTCTATTAACAAGTAAGACGGACGCCCCACAACCAAGTAGTTAAGTTCGTTGACTTCAAACCACTTGCCCCTCATTGCTGTGGGTTCGGATCCCGACAGGGACTTTGGACTCTTTCATGTGAGGAAGCTATCCAGCTAGCTAACGGAACGTCGGTAGTTCTACTTAGGTGCATGTTCGTGCCTGAAATAATGCACGGAAGGGCACCTGAGGTCTTCCTCCACCAGTAAAAGCTGGAACGTCGTGATATGACCTATATTGTGTCGATGTGACGTAACCCCCCTCCCCCCCAAAAAAAAACCAAAAAAAAAAAAACAACAACAAAAAAACAACAAACAAGTAAGACAAAGATTGCAAAAAGCCCTTTCATGATTTTATAAGTTATCATATCATATCATACAGTAGACGAGCCGTAGCCGAGGCATATATCAGATTTTTTTTGCAGATGTGAACAATCCAATAGAATAAGTATTGTTCTCAACAATGTATAATGACATCTGTATTTCGCACCACCAACGTTTTAATAGTTTGTAAGATTTTTATTACTTAAATTACATAAAGGATTCGATGTTGATTTTTTTGGCCTCTTGAAATGATTTGTATCCAGTAATGATTTCTATTGGAACATGGTGCAAACGCTTTGACGATATTTCATTAAGGTTTGGAAAGATGGGGAACGATTGGAATTTGATATAGACCTTTTTTGACTTTGAAAATGAAATGAGGTTTAACTATTATGATTTTAGCGCAGAGCATTTAAAAACATATGAAAGGACTTTTGATTTATTTCGACTTTGAACGAATTTGAACTTGGTGAACAAAGTCAATGAAGATGAAATAAGCATGAAATTCATAAATACATGAAATACCTTTGTTAAAACTATGGCATTTTCTCTTTTTAAATCCATGAAAATATAAATATTGTACGTTGGCATATCTTTCCCCCTTTCTATTTATACTCTGATTTTCGATACAGTTCGGCATTGTCCTCATGACAGGAATCATATCATGTATGTCTTCATTTCCAAAGCAGACATCGTATTTGTGCTGGACGCGTCTTCAAGCGAAGGAACATTGAACTTCCAAAAGTAGATTGTGTTTTCAAAGAGAGTCATTTTATTGAAAGGCATTAGATATATATTTCTATGTCATTATTTCTCTTTTCCCGAAATTCACATTTTGTCCTTTTTTCATTGTAACAACGACTACACCTATGCCAACAACTACTCCAACGACCTTGAGTAAGTTTTACATTTATGTGTTCTATGAATCAAGAAACGCTCTCTCCGACAAAATTTGCCCAGTTGTAACTTTACGTTCTGACACACATTCATCATCTTCTAAAGATAATGATATTATGATATGTGACTTTTATCAAAATAATCTGTATTGTCAATTTGTTTTTGACGAACATAAGAACACAATTAGTGTTATAGTGCTTTTTTGTTGTAATATGATTTTAAAAGAAAGCACATTTTCTGAATTTCATCCGATACTGTTTTCTCCAATTACATGAATTAATTGTTCATAATGATCATAAAAACATAAAAAACAGAATCACTATTCTTTAAAATTATCTTTCAAATCGGTATAGTGAAATATATATTATGCTCATCCTTGCTATAATATTTTAATTGCAAAAATTTATTGAAATCTATGAAATTCTTACTGAATATGTCTAAATTAGACAAAAGAAAAAGTAAACTAGGGAAAGGGGGGTGGGTTTAAAATTTTTTTAAACCCGTCAAGTAAAGTTGGTGTTTTTTTTTTTAAAAATTTGGACACATCCCACTATACAAAATTAGCATATTGGTTTTCCCCTTTAAGTGTATAAAATTTTGAAAAAAAAACCATTTTTTACTTTAGGTGGAGTAAAAAATGTTTAAAAGGGGGTCTTTTAGAAATTTTTTAAATTTATTTTCTTGTAAAAATTTTGGGTTTTAGTTTATTTTTTAAAATTTTTAAAATTTTTTTACCAAATTTCTCTTAACTTTTTTTTTTCCCCAAAGAAACAAACAATTTAGGGAAAACTTTTAAACCCGGGTTTAAAAAAAATACCCAATTTCTTAACACAATACCTTATCTTTTGTATCTTTTTTAAATTTTAAATTTTAAACATAAAATCCAAATTTTTTATTTTTTAAACTTTAATAATAAAGGACTTTATAGCCTATTTCAAATACAATAATACTATTTTGATATAATTCTATGAAGAAGTAAAAAAATGAAAATTCCTTGTTTGTCGAATGTTCTGTACCTCGACACTGTGTTGAAGAAGTCCTTATGTTCTTTTACAGATATAAAAACACAACACTTCATCCCAGGTTTGATTCTTATCAGTTACTGACCTGCTAAATTTCTTAAATGGAGTTGTTTAAATTCCATTTTTGGAACTGTCCAGGTGATTTAAAGGCATATATCTGACAGACGTTGTCAATTTTCTAGTACCTTTTAGTGCCCGTTAGGGTGGTTATACCTTTAAAGATCCTGTATGTTATAATTACGGTTGTTACCACACTTTAGTGAAATTTTATATATATTTAATCTTTATTAAAGTCTCATCCATACATAACATTTACAACATTTCAATTACAAATTGTAAAACACAAAATCATAAAATTGCTTGTATTGCCATTCTGATAATGAATATATAAATACAGGGGAGACAACTCCTCAGTCAATATTGCAAATACTTCCAATATGAACTGCAGAGTTACCTCTCTTTTCATGCTTATTTAACTTTTAACAATTGATCTGAATTCAGAAACCAGTACTAACTACATCCACAGGAATTCCAATGCCCATAACAATTTTGGGGAAAAACAACAAAAACTAAGCAAGCTTTTTAGTTTTAACCAAATGTCAAAAAGGAGATAATTCTGGAACTGATAAGCAGCTGTTTCCTAACATTTAATAGATAACTCATAAATTTATTTCTTAATGAAATCTTATCAAAGTATACTCGGCATTTGACAAATATTAATATACATACAAATCAGTGCATTGTCCATCTGAATAAATCCTAATCTAACTATATGTATATGAGATTTACTTGAAATATACATTACCTAAATATCAACAGTTAAACTTTTGTAAATGGTCGATCCATGAAGTTAATGACATTAATTAATAACTGTAATTTACAACAAAAAGAACATGACATTAGGTAAAACAATTAATGCAAGAAAGCGTTATTTCAAAGACATCAGTCAATGATAAATAATAAATTATTTACCGCAAATTAATTGCAAAAAACACTTAATTCAAATGTTTTATATCCACCATTTCTTTTCCTTTTATCATTTGGTTTTTCTCTTTACAGACACAACAACCTTGGGCTAGCTTGTCTCCCGGTAAAAAACTGGTTTAAATGTATCATTCCATTTTTTTTACCCTTTTTGTTGTTAATTTATCTTTAATCTTTTTTTGGCAATCTTATATACCCTAACGTCGACTGAATTTTCTGTTTGATTAATACATGCGTTGACTTAAGAAAAATGCAACAGTGCTAAAAAAGCAGTCATGAACGGCATACACTTTTCTTTAAAAAAATCGAGTCTCTGTGAGAACGAGCAATGTTTGCAACATTAATGGCGTCAGCTTGAAATAGGTAAAAATATCAATATTAGCACAGACATGTATCTGTTGCTTACAAACAAATTAAATATATGAAAACTAGCTTTCGTAAAATCAAAATTTTGTGACATTGTCATACCTGGTATACTAATTGATGTATGTCTTTATCTTTTTGTTTTTCAGATCAAATATGTAAGAAAGACAACTTGACATATGCAATTATTTTGTAGTCTTTAAAACAAATAAAATTGACAGAAGCATGCCGATGTTTTGATAAACCCTTCATTTGAAATTAATCTAAAGAGACAAACTATAAGATCTGGAATTTTACAACAAAGTTCTACAAACTCACTGTTTCTGCAAGCAAACCGAATCATCAACCCAATTTTCTACAAAAGAGATAATGACCTATATGATCTTATTTTGTCAAAGCTTAGTAATCTTGTAACTCTTATTAATTGCGACCAAAAAGTGTCGTACAGTAAAACAAAATATATTATTTCATATAAAACAAACAAATGTCTAGGCAGGAAGAAAAGTGTGTTGATTCTCTTTTTTCCAAATCAATAAATTCAAAAAATTTAATTATAATATAAAACATGAATGCTGACAATATATATACATGTATAATCTGTTAATATAATCTGGTAATTGTTTCTCCATAACATTACTGTGAGAACATTCATAAATGAATACAATGTCATTTTGAATTTGCATGTTTACAAAAGCAGAATGTGTTCTGTATTTTCAATGTAGTGATTTTCTACCACTGCGCGTGTATTGAACTGATCCTTCCTATGGACCTTCGTTCATTGTTCATTTATTTGTTCCCTTTCATTTATTTTGGCGCAGAATGTGTTTAATTGATTTGTGTTTCTACAAGATAGTTCTTTTCAACTACACAAGTCGGTTGAATAAGGAAAATGATCGAATAGGAAGAAGAACCTCATGCCTTGGTTAGAATTGCTTAAGATCTTTAGAAAAAAACTACGACAGAATGAGGAAAAAAAATACGAAAAACATTACGGCAAAATAAATGTAGCAGTGTCTGTTTCTTGACAAAGTGGTAAATGAAAGCCGTCGCCAACGCTCCCTATCACCGGCTTAAGCAAAATTTAACATTTAAACATGAACATGATAAAATTTTGGTACAAAACAACATCCGCAGATGTGGTCATATGGCAGTTGTTATAGAGTCTTGAATCAACACTTGTATGACCCCAAAGTAGAGAAAATAACAAAAATGTATGCGCATTCCAGAAAACAATTGGTTAGCCTATTGGAAAATAAAATTGAATTTTGAAAGGAGGGAGATATTACGAAGAAATAATGTCATATAAAAGTCGTCAATAGAAAAAATCATAAGGGAGATTATACAGTATTCAAAAATTGATACTGAAGCCACACACCAAGAAAGCGAACAAATTGAAAGACCTAAATTGATTGCAAACTCAAACTCGATTTTGAAGAATAAAATATACCTGAATATACAGGGTGAAATTTTACAGTCTTCTCTGGCATAAACACCACTAATGTAGCAATGAAATAAAACACAGATAGAATGATGTACAAATAAAAGACGATGTAAGCAACAAGGGTAACGTCCATATGTGGAAACTTAAACAAAAGGCATCTATTATTTTTATTGTGTATGGTTTCTTTTTTTTCAAGCACAAAATTTCCGAAATGTTACCTTTTGATATGAAAATGGATAAATGAATATGATAATTTGGATTTGAAAATTTTTTTTAAATAGACATAAAAAGTTTCATGTAATCAGTACAACCGCCTTTGGAGAAAATATCGGTAATCCTATTGATAAAACGAAGCATAGTTAACTTTACAGTCAATCCGAGAAAGCCATGTGCTATCCTTAGCCTATCTTAAGGAGAATTCAACAAGTCTTTATCCACAAATTTGCTTAACACCCCAGCTACATTGTCTGCATCAGGTAGAGCATATGATTCATCACCTGTCGGAAAGAACGATTCTTTAATTTTTTCTAATTCATTTTCTATATCCCAGTCAAAATGATTGGTTTCCTCTTTTTTGTTCTCTTTTTCCTTAATTTTCGTTGTGTCTTGTCCGTTCCCTGCTTTGTTGTCTAGTTCTTTTTTATCATTTTCTATAGTTGCTGTTCCCAGATAAAATTCATCTTGAATAGATGTGTTGTTTTTCCCGATTCCATTCTCAGAATCAACCGAATGATCGGAAGGGTTTTGTTTAAGAGTGGCTTTTATGTTTACGTGTTCTTCCGATTCTTTCATAATGGGGCACACTCCAACAGAAGGATAATCTTTTACCATTAACTTGGATATTATGCTCGGTACCCTTTTCTTTTGCATCAATAGTGCTCACATTTTCATCGTCTTTATTCTGAAATATACATGCATCTGGAGTAAGTATCTTATTGAACTCCGAATAATAATCTTCTTAATAAAAAAATGTGAGCATAGTGTTCGTTATGTTTCATCAGGTAAGTTAATAAGTCTAAGAAATAACATCATTCTGTGTCCGTTTACTGCAAACAGGTCTTCATAATTTTAACGAATTATCGTATAACAGAAAATTATGATAAAGTGTCATTCAATACAAATTAATCAGATTGAACATTTATAAAAAGTAATAAACTTTATAATTCTATTTTATAGGAGATATAGAAGTATAAGTGAGCGAAGTATTAAGAGAATAAATTATTTTAAAGCATATAGACATGAATGAATACTTCAAGGATACATACTTTCATTTGTGAATTCCTATTGAATTTTATGAATAAAAACCTTTCTGAAGCGGTACTATCATAGTCAATATTTTTTTGGCCTTCAAGATATGTCAGGTAGTTTTGGTCGTACGATATTTTCCGTAAACAGCTAAATCCTCGTATACTTCTTTTCCAATAAAAAGATTTGTTTTTCCACTCTTCAGAAGAAAGAAGGTATTTTTTCTTTTTGTATTGATTTTCTTGAGCTTTACAGAATTCTTCGTGTGTAATTGAATAATACCGTTTCTTTGCTAACATGACAAATCGTTCGAAAATAAGGTCGAGAAACAAATTCATGAACATGTCATTGTCATTTTTGGACGAATTGGCATGGAATCTATTGAGCAAATTAAGTCTTGCATTTTTTCCCAATGATATACTCTTCAGTTGTACTTCGTTTAAATTGCTGTGTTTTTGATTGACCTTTCTTTCGTTTTTTTTAATTCGTTCTCGTTTGAACATTATCTTTAGTATCAACACTGGTTTTGTTTAACTGAACTGACGTTTCTTGAAGATCTGATTACTTCGTTTGTAGTATACCCTTAAGAACAGTAAGGGGCAATGGCCCACTTGTAACTCCTATGTGTCAAACCTTGTCTTGATCTGACATATATTTCTCTCGCCGTAATTAGTAGAATTGGCCTGGTAAAGTCATCATCATGCAAGGCCATATACTGTTGAGAAAGTGCAGAGTTGTTCCTAAATGTTAGGTCTAATTTACAAGGGACTAAAGGCATTGGCGTTGTACTTTTCAATGGAGGGTTTCTTGACAGAAAATAAATAGATAACAATAAATACATAATTAAAACTTTACTTAACTTTTCATTATGAATATAAATCTGACTAGTTTAAAGGATTCAGCTTTTAATACTGCCTTACAAGTTCATTATTACTCGCCTAGGATAGCGTTATATTGATATATTATCCGCGCCAGAAACACGCATATTTCAATTTTATTCAACTCATTCAATAAATTTAGTGATACATACACTCGTTCAATCATCCTACCTGATATATATTTTATACATATGTAAATTCTAACCATTTTCTCGGAATCTGATGGCATGTTTTTAAACCTTAAATTATATTTTTTAAAAATAATAAACAAGGTCACCATAAAGGCCCGAATGTAAATTTGTCTGAGTAAACAAAAATAATCTTTCAATTGGGAAAGAGACCCAATCAAGAAACTTTTGTATCCCAAGTACATGATTCAAAATATTTTTAAGAGGTTTAGTTGAAAACGCTATATGACAGATATAGAAGAGGCATAGCATTTATCCCCCAAAAGATAAGATGTGTTGTCCTTTACTTTATAATACATGAGGCCAGTGACTCCCGGAGAAGGGCCAATTTTGACTTGAGGGTCATAATTAACAATATTTTTGTAGAAAACTACAAATGTTGCTACACACCAAATATCTAAGCTGTGAGTTTTGCAATTGCACACAATAACACATCAATAATAAATGTGATTTCTTATTATCAAGTGACCCCAGGGCGGGCAAATGTTGATACCAGGTGCATGATTTATATATATAAATATAGATGAGCTGACATTCATTAGGTAATGTGACATGCTAAATATTTTAGCTTTTGGCATTGTAGTTTCACAATGCGTTTTTCTTTACAAAAATATATTAACTAATTGCCCTCAGGGTGGGGCCAATATTGACCGTTGGGGCATGATTTATTCCAGTTATTTTGTGGTCCACAAAGTGATGTTACATGCCAAATACCGATGCTCTTTGCATCGTAGTTTTATAAAATTAGTCACAAATGCTTTTTCTTTACAAGTTTATTGAAATCAAGTAACCCCTTTGGGCGAGAGTCAATATTGAAGCATGGGGAAGGGTTCATATCAGTTGTGTAAAGCTCACTAAGGTAATGTAACATACTAAAATTCTTAGCTCTAGATATTATAGTTTCACACAATGAATCGTGAAATTTGTTTTCCTGTATAAGTCTATATAAATAAAGTAAAAGACGGGACCAATTTCGATCGCAAGAAGTCTTTACCTGTGTTCTGCACAGCGACTTATTATAAGTCATTATTCTGCCAAAAGTTTTTATTTCTTAATGGTTAAAAAATACAGACCAGACACGAAATTATGAAATCCATACACAATGAAAAAAGTGACCTTGACCTGAGAAAATTTAAACCATTTCTGCCAAGTTGTTTCAATATCCTTCCATCGGTTCAAAAAGACACAGACCGGACACAGAAAACTGTTATCTTTACGGAGGACGACAGGTGCCTAACATTATACGCCGATTTTTTTTTTCGGGCGTAATAAAATTAAAAACCAACTTTTAATAATATCAACCAGTTTTTTTATCCTCTCCTGAATCCAAGGCATGAGTAGCAGCATCTTTGATATGTTCAAAGGTTGCACTTGTACTTCCAAGATTGTTAAAGCCATTTATTGAATACCCTTAAAATACGCATAAGAGACCCAACCTTCTGTATGCTGATTCCTTGCTTCTAGTCAATTTCATTAACTGTAATCATCAACGCTTCTAACCATCTCCTGACATTGCTAAAGCAAAATGTAAACATATTAGCAACATATGTTTTATTACTAACATTATAAAAAATATGACTACTTAATAATAATAATTTTCTATTATTTAACCCTTTTTAAGATAAATGTAAGCTTTTTAACAATTCTCCATAAATTTAATAGTAGAGAGAAGCAAGCTAGATTTAATTGTTTCATATAAATGGTATGATATAGATTACTAAAGCGTGTAACTAAGTCGAGGCGAATTTTAAAATAAACTAAAGACTTACTTAGTAATTCCAATGCAAAAAATTTCCAGCGTGTTGCAGAAAACGATCTTGATAACTGTAAGAAAACTTTTGTCCAGTCAGTTTGAAATTCAGGAGGAGTACCTGAAAATTAAAAAAAAACTAAATAGAATTTAAATAAAGTAAATTTCATAAAAGTACACATCTTATAATTCGATTAAGTTAGAAAGCTATGATGAATTTTTACTTTGGTTTTGTCGCGAATTTAATTATAATTGAGTATACGTATAGTGCAATTAATCTCAATTTCTTCTGATACTTTGTGTTTCAGTTTCAAAATTAATATCATTTTATTTCTCAAAAAGCTCTCAGTCGTTATAATATTAAACACGAAATTGTTGCTTGAATTCACGACTGTTACAAAACATAGGTTTAATATGCTAAAAACAGTCTTACTTGAGCTACAATCCGCATATTTATGCAAAAATCTTAATCACTTTATGTCGCATTTAGCATGTATTGAATTAGAATTCATTCTGAAATAAAGAACTGTGTATACAGCAACAAAAGATTGATAAAATTGTTGTTTCTTAAATTAATAACTCTTTCCCCTGGAGATAATGATTGGTCTTGTATTCCGTGACATAGCTGTTTTTTTTTGGTCCGGGTTGCTTTCTGGTCCCTCTCTCCATAAAGAAAAACTGAAAACAAAACAAAAAATATATAGAATTTTTTTAATTTTCTCGCTGAAAGCAAAAAAATAAATGTTTTGTACCAGCCCTTAAAAAAATATAAATAAGATTTGCGCTCCTTTTAATGATTAGTGTTTTCTTGTGTTGAATGAAAATACGAGGTAATGTATTTTTTTGCATTTTCTATTGAAAAATTTAATGATGAAATTGATGTCATAAAAGTATAAAACAGCTAAACAAGCCGTTTAGATTTTACATCGTTCCGGAACAACCGGGGTAGAAATAAACAACAACAATTAACAAAAATTATTCTGCCGTTTGTTCCCGCCTGATGGGGAACACGAATCCTTTCACAGAACTATAAAGAAAATATTTACAAATGCTAGCATGTTCATAATTTTTATAATATAATTATCTTAAATAAAGTTTCAAATATTGCCACAATTGTTGAGTCTTTTGTAGATTTTGATGCATGTAGTAAGTCTTAAATGGATGAAAACAAGAAGTCGTTTGACTTAGATATAAAGACATGTAGACCGTAACAGCACAGTTCGTTTTTATTAAAGATACTCCATTGAAGTTTTTTGACGTCCCGAGACTGGAAATAATTTTTCGAGAGTAATGTTCCATTTGATGTAGGTCTAATGATCAGGAACTTAAATGCAGAATTCATCGCCAACTCTTTTTCCCATAAAAATTATAATAATTGTGAAAATGACCAAAAATCAAATAGCTTTATAACGCTTTTAACTCAAAACTAAAAAAGGACTAAAAAAGGAAAAAAATACGATTTTTCATTTACTTCTGATTATATTTCTGAATTTAATTTTTTGCTTTTGAGTCGATTACACATTTATCCGTGAAAATTATATTTGATAATTATATTATATATTTCACTTGAGTTTTTGTTCCTTTTGCATGCATGATGGAATTTCCACATGATAACCATAAGCAGACAATGTATTGTGTGCGAGACGCATGTACACACCTTCAATTTCAATGTCATACTAGTAGATCAAAATTCAAATTCTGTTTATGGCGTATAACTTTATTTTTGCTTGATTGATTGTCGAAATATTTGGGGTATGTCTTCACAGTTGCCAAAGTCAACATCATTATTTGGGTTTGATGTCAAATCTTGATTGTTTTAAAATTATGTCATTAATTGATGAATAGTAAAATTCATTGGCAAATGTCTTTATCTTAATCAGATGGTGTTTATAGTGACTACAACTTTGAGGTCAATGTTGGACTTTCTATCGCATGTAAAACTCATATCTCATATTCAAGGTCAATGTCATTATTTGGGATAAAAAGTCAGATTGTGTTTGTCTTATTACTCTACCATTACTTGATTGGCTTACAGTTTATTTGGCATATGTGTTTATCTCAGTCAGACGATGTGACATGCACAAACCGATAATGTAGATAGTACCAACCAAAAAAAATACATTGAATCATCTCACAAAAATATGTCGGGATATGCTGGAAGCCTTCATTTTCAAGTTTAACTACAAAGAACGATAGTTATCTGAATGATAAAAGATACAAATAAAGATCATATATACGACAAAGCATCGCAATACTTGCTATTTTCTACCTGTAAGTACAGTCAAACACAGCTTTTATGAATCAAAGCCGTGGGCAAAAACAGTAGAACGACACATCATACATATAAACGGAGTAATAATTTTAAATATAGAGCAATGCAAGTAAAAACATACGGAAATAACTTTTATGTGGAAAATATATGCTAAAATATCTGTTTTGGATTGATTGAAATAATTTTCAAAATAAATATTCCTCCGCGATTGTGATTCACTTTCCTTCATTTACAAAAAAGTGTGATTACGATAACGCATGTGCAAAGCTTTTTAAAAGAATTTCTAAAAAAAAGTGTTTAAATTTTTATAAAGTTGGTTGGTAAATTGGGGGACCAAATTACTTCCCCTTATTCCCTTTTTGATGTAAAAAATAGGCCAAAACTTTTGGAATTGGGCCCAAACAAAAATGCCCAACAAAATAAAAAAAAGGAGCCCTTTTTCGGTGTTTGATAAGAATCATGTTGCGATCCCTTTTTTGGGTTTTAAAGCTTTTTTCGGGGGCACGGTTTTTCTAGATTATACTTATTTTAAAAAATGTATAAATATTTTCATCGAATAAATTTTTTTTGAGTGAACAAAAAACCCTTTGTTTTAATTTTAAAAACTTTGAAATAGAGTGTTTTGTTTTTATTTAATATTTTTCTTTTTAAACCGTTGAATGACATTTAAAAAAAAGGACAATATAAGCGAACGTACAACATCGACACCTGTATTTTTAAGTATAATAAATTTTGCTTAAACTTCTTTTTTTTTAAGACAAATATGGTCCGTACAAGTTGTTTCCTAAGATATTTAAGTACTATTTAACAATAAGTCTATGATATGTGTAAAATTAAAAATTTTAAAAGGGGGAAAAAAATTCATGGATTTTTTCCCTATAAAAGATTGAAATAAATGGTTAATATTATCCCTCTTTTTGGTTCCTCCACCCGATGCTAATCCCAAATTTTTAGCGGCTCGGGGCTTGCACAAAGGGCCTGCCCGCAAAGCGAGCTTTACGGTAACGCGAGCACCTGCTAGATAGTATTGGTTTTGAAAACTTTCGTCCTAAGTACTGAATTGACACATCGCAACTTTAGAATTACAAGATAACGAAAAAAACCGATTTATTCTGACTGAAAACGGAAGCGTAGACTGGTGTCCTGCGCATTTATATCGGAACCATAATTGGACAGGGAACCAGAATAAACGGAAGCATTAATAAAATACCGGATAACAATTTTAAAACGGAAAATGTAAAATAAAAAATAACGAATTTTTTTACTATTTCATGTTAAAAGTAAATCTAGCTTGCTTTGAGGCTTTGTCTTTTTCATATTAGTTTTCATAATAAAAATGTGTAGACTACTCCGCCACATTTATATTTAATGATCCTTCATTTTGAGCTTAGTGTCCCTGATTCTTGAGGAAAACCTTGCTTTTTCATTAAAAATATGTGTGGCGAAAAATGAAACAAAGAAAATTTAGAAGATTGCAAGGTGTCATGTCACTTGTTAAAAAAAGGGTGGACCCTGGTGAGCTTTTTAGCGATTAATGTTGCTGTCCTACTCCTTATGGTGTCAGTGTCCGCGTTGGCATACCAATTAAGTTTTAGATTTGGGTGCAATATCTTCTCCTATCATTTTATTTTATGAACCACTAAGAATATTTGCTTGTAACTTTACATCCTCAATATATAACACTAGCATAATATGGTCCATTTTGACAAACTGAATAAATGGCATTTAGTAAACTTATAAAATCCTTGGTTAAAATTTTTCAAGCAATATAATCTTCGGAACTGGTGGTATTCATTTGAAACTTTAACATATGACATCAGTTTTTTTAAAGAAAATTGAAAATATTCACATGAAACCTAATACATGTGTTTGGATCATAATTGGAGGTCACTATTAAGCCCCATAAATCCCTGGCATAAAACTTACTGCCCTTTGTAAACTTGTTTATTGGCGTTTTCCCTAGTAATTATGCCGATGTTATCACTTTATCATTCCTGGTATGTTACAAGTTAGATACCTAATAAGAATAAGAAATAGAAACTGGACAGTATCGAAATATACCTGTTGATGATAAAATTATAAAATTGTGTAAGGCAAATGATCATTTTGTTTATTTTGGTTGCGTATTTGTGTTTTACTTTATCTGCTTTATAAAAATTGCCTTATAATATGCTTAAGGTTTATAAAGTTTTTTTGGTTACACAGTATAAGTTATTTGTGTCAGCTAATCATAATGAGCTTTCGGTTATTATAAATTTATTTAGTTATCTTCAATATTAATTAATAATATTTTATTATTATTATATGAATTTATACATGCAAGGACAATGATTGAAGATAAAATTCAGTTCCTCTTTGTTTCAACATTCTATTTAATTTTTAACGTTTGAAGGGAAGAAAAGACTCCCGTTAATACTTATAGAAATATCGATCCTTACCTTGTGTATTCTCGGAGACTCCAGTTACCTGAACACTTTCCCTTGTTCTATGTTGTAATATGTCATCTGAATTTTCTACTTCTTGGCAGTCTTAAAGACAACGTGAATCATCATATTATATCAAGATGAAATAACAGACCTAGTGAAATTACTATATATGATCTATTTGAAAAAAAGAAACAATATGAATTTTAATAATTTTCTGTGAGATAGAGAATGGTATGAAAGAGACTGTTTTGGTTTAAGTTCGCAAGCTTACATGCTTATGGATCGGAAAAGCATAGCACTTATATTGATTCCTCTCGATGTTGGAGTTTGGTCTTTATTATTTCAATTTATACGATCAGTGAAAGTTTTACAATTCAATATTAATCTAAATTAATAAAATTCCGTACAGGTTTATTTGGTTTGACTTTTGATTCATTTTTTTTAAAATAAATGATACTGTTTTATGGACATTTTTTCAGAGTGCAATTTTTTTTTTAATTTCATTATCACATTATCAAATTTTTTGATTCTATAAAATAATAGTCTTACTTAAAAGATGCAGATGTGGACGGACCACAGCAATGTGCCTTTCATTTTTGTTGGATTTCGGTTGTAATTCATTCCCATCAACGTTATGTAGACTGGATTTATCTATAATAAAGGTTCCATTTAACTAAACTTTAGTTTATTTATCAAGAATTTGTAAAAATTAGTTTCTTTCTCAAAGCCGCAAATGCATATTCATTGTTTTATGCATGTTTATATTATTGGTCGTCATGTTACAAACAAATGAAATAAACTTCTTTTATAACATTAAGTGTTTGGTGTTAGCTGTGTCTAACATATACATGCTCATTGCAGTCAGCGAGCTTGATTGTCATGATAAGCAAAATTTATTTTCTTTGTAAGTTTTATTAGATTAAAAGTGAATGTCAATTTAACTAGTTAAGGACATTTATCTTACATATATTATCCATATACTAAATTATTTTTTATGGTCTACAATTCAAAAATGTTGCAACATAACACATATATAAGTATTAATGATGCTACCTTTATTCTTGTGTATGCTTGTTTTCTGCACAACATCTTCCTTACAACGATTGGTTGTTTCTTTATAACTTTTTTGACGGTTATCACCTGCAATCAATGTATAATTATAAAATGACTTAACCTCCCATAAGAATTAATTGATTCTAGACAATGACTGAAACGGCACATAAACGGAGAGAAACACATGCATTAACGGATAAAATAAATTAAGCTTATAATGAATTTGCCCTTTTGTTACCATGAGTATTTCAGGGACTCACGTAAAAAGCGGACTGCTTTATGAAAGCCCTGTTGATATCATAATTAAAACAAAACTGACCAATGACAATTCACCCACGCATACAAGACATAGCAAAACCGGGATTTCTTCACAAAAAGCACGTCACAAAACACGAAATTATCAAATCAGACGAAAACTTTGTGTAATAATACCGCTTATGTATCCTTTTGCGTATATCAAAGTCTTCAGAAGCCCTCCGACTTAATAAGATCCCTAGGCCAGTGAGGTCGGGCTTTACACTCGTCCTCCTGCTTTTGCACATGTAAATGCACGAACAAAGGGTGCATTAATGATTAAATATCTCGGTGTATTGTGTATGAATAATTATTACATTATATCTACAAAATGCAATCATTTTTAGATAATAGTGAAACATTCGTTTTAACCTGATCTTGTCTGACTTTTATGAGAGTTCAAGATTATCTCACTTATAACCGTTTCTTTGCCATCAGCATTACTATCACTTTGGTTTTTTACACCATATATGCGTAGCATTATCCAATTTTCAACATATTTTCGACGTCTAAATAATTAATATAGATTTTTTTTAGTTTAAAAAGATTATGATAAAATATATTGATAATGTTGATAATAAAATGTATGACTATAATAATTAAATTGCAGATGATGATGATGACATTAATAACAATTATAATGATAATAACTGTAATAATAATACTAGCATTTATAAACAACTTTTTAAAAAATTCAAAAGGAAATTATGGCATTATACACTATTATAATAAAAAATACTTACTTAAAAACAATATTCTTAAGTACACCGTATATAATGATTAAAATGACAAGGATTAGGCCACAAATTGCAGCCCCACCATCACAAGCTTTTTAAACATTTACTTAAATAAGCTTTTTTAACATTTACTTAAAAAATATTCTTTCATTGTCCAATTGACAAATAACTATCTAATATAATTACTTTTTGTAGTAGTAGTAACTTATAAAAGTTATATTGAGTAAAATGATAACGATAAAGCCAAACATTAAAGTCCACACCAACACCATTGAGCCTGATTGAGCACCACTGTCATCTGTTAAATAGAAAACATACATGACTGTTACGTTCTTCAATTATTATTGCTGTAATTCATCTCATTCATACTAAGAAACGTTAACACATATCTTACGACAATAAATTAATGATATTTCGTGTAAACGCTTTTGTCATCCCAAAATCTGCCCCAGTTGATAATAGAATATAACAGTTACTATGAGAAAAGGTTCCTTAAATATGCACTACATGGTATGACCTTGAACCGAAGACATAAAAAAATTGTAGATTATGTATCGAAAGCAAACCTGTATTATTCACATAAATTTCGATCTCTTATTTAATGAACTTTTTCCCTAGCAATTAAAAGAACATATTTTTACCCAACGTAACATATTTTAAGTATCTACATGTAACGCCTCTTTGAGTAAATAATTCACAATTTTTGAATTGTTATGTTGGTTATAAACAGTTACAAACGATATTTAGGTTAAATAATTTATGTTAACTACAGTAAGTTTTCCTTTTTTCTGTAATATTTTGACATAATACAGCTTAAAGACACAGCTTTAAAATATGAAATGTATAAACATTACTATGACGTGTACCTTTTTTCAGCGCACAAACAGCGTTTTTGTATATTGTACAGTTTTCTTCATATACATCACAAACTGTACAGTTTCTACAACTAACAGTTTCGTTGAAGGTAACACATTCTGGTTGATATGTCCCATCCTGGCACTCCTCACATTTAGCACGAGTAAAATTCCCAGGACAGTCTTCTATTGTTGTGTAACCAGGTTCACAAGGATAACACTAAAATATTGAAGCAAAACATATGTATGTTTTTAATTAAAGCAAGAAATGAGAAATACTTATCTTCAAAATATTGCAGATTTATACTTGTATCGTTCAAATAGTTTTTCGTGCTACTGTAGTAGCACTGTGTCGGACGATAAAAATAGATTTACTGATGGTTAATCGAATTTATCTAAGCTGGAACTTGAATATAATCTTAACACTCAATCTTACCTCGCTCGTTTTCTTGACAAACTTATTCATATGTTATGTGGAAAATAATGGTCCTGGCTCAAGAAAGGTTCAAACCCCTTGAACCATTTGTAAGATGGCCAACACCGTAACAAGTACATTATCAGTCTATAAAATAACTTCCTTTATGTAATGTTATTCATATTTCATCTTACCTGTATTCCTATCCCGTTAGTGAAAGTGTTGTTACAGATATTGTAAGCAAAAGCTTGGCTTGTGAGAACAGTGATTATAATACCATAATAAACTGGATGTGTGATCATTGTCTGAAAGAAATCTGTATCATTAATTCATCAATGTGTTATTTGATGACTATTTAACGAGTGATAATGATAATTTCAGACTACCTAACCTTCCATCCGTCCCTTCTCTCTCACTAATGCAATTTCAATGAAACTTAACAACGTCGATCCATAGCTCAAGTACTTTCGTATATAACATGGTTTTTCGGTTGAAAGTTGAAGCCTTTAGTTTCAACAATATTTATTTACAAACTTTCAAAGATAGATATCGTTACAACTAGAAGAAATTGTTTAACAAAATCATGTATGACTGAAGATGTTAATTTTAATTAAATTCGGAAGAGGATTTGAAAAATTCCAAGACATATATAAATTCATTTCCTCAGTCGGCTCAGTCGTCAAAATAACGTGTAATGTTTTTTAAGATATAGATTTACAAATAAAATGATAAAAGAGTCGTAATGTGGAAATGAGTTATTTGCTACTAATAAGACAGTTAACTTAATATAATGTATCAATCAGGCATATGAAGTCGTTCTGTGACATGCGCAAGGACTCAGATGTTCAACGTTTAGTTTTCTTTGAACTTGGAAGTTTGGACATGAAAGAAGATAATGATTTGTAGTTTGAACATTACCACAGGAACGGTACTAGTGTGAGTCGTTGACAATAGATTTGCGAAAAAGATCATTAAAGAACAAGAGTCTAGACGTAAACGATTATGAAAAACTTGTGCCTTTCTATCACCTGTGAGATAAAGTAAGGCTGGCCATTCAATTTTGCTTTCTACGGCTGTACTTGAATTAATTACATCGGATAGATTGTTTCAGTCACGGATGACAGACGGAAGAAGGGAATCTCGATAAAGTTGAGTTCTTGAGGTTAAAATTGGTGTGTTTTGAAGTTAGTTACGTAGTTGGTATCTATTTTGTGTTTGTTTAGGGATTATGTTTGGTAAGTAATTTGGTGTAATGTGATTTTCCGTTTTGTAAAATGTTATCAGTTTATGCTTTTTTCGGTTGCTAAGGATTCCCATTTAATTTCAATTTCAATGCTACAGAGATAGTCGCGCCCTTGATAATACACGCTGCTTCTATTTGAACAGATCCGATATTTTGTTTTTCGTACTTATTGCAATTATACCAGACAACATCACTATATTCTAAAAAGGGTCGGATGAAAGTAAAATAAAGTTTTGTAAGACAGTTTCTATTCAAATTAAATTAGATTGCTCTTAAATTTCCAATACGTTTCCAAGCCCTGGATACATCTGACGAGAAATGAGAGTGCCATTTGTGTAAAGACAATCAGCATGTAGTTCGCACACTTTGACCTTTAAACTGATATTAATACTGATACTAACAACAAACTTTTTATAATGAGCGTAATGTTTTCTCAAATGCATATCGAACCAAAACGGCAACTCAAATAACGAAACAGGCCACTTTTTTCTTGCATATCAGACAGGTTTATTCTTCGTTCGTCCGAAAATAAATTATTTCTTTCCTAATCAAAACCAAGAAATAAGAAAACTCAGATAAGGTTCTATAGATTGCGGTTTACTAAAGCTCATATATGAACATTTTTACAGCAATACATCATACAATATAATGTCATATCAAAAAACGCCTTAATTATTACATAGTATTCCTATATATATAAATACTTCTGTAATAGCAACAATGTTGATTATAATTATACTATAAACATACTTCATCTGATGAATTTGAAATCAATGGATCAATACTGTGAAATGGGACTCTTTTTTATCCTGTCGAAAAGAAATATACAAAACGAAAAACCACCATTTTAAAAATAATTATTCGGAAACAGAGGTTAATCATATGCTGCGAGACGGCTGCCCCAACCCCAACTCTAATTATTATTATTTTAAATTTATTGTTTAAGACGGGGGGTAGGGATAATCCAAAGCTCTGTACAGCAAACAGGCTCTCTCCGCCCCCTGCTTTCCGAATAGTCTTTATATATTAAAGAATTACTTAACAATTGGATAAAACTTTAAGAAAAATAAATCAATTTGACAAATCCTCCCGATACAATTATTGATCAGTCACATTGTAAAATCCAGTCTTTGTCAACTAACTTGAAATATTCATTTATAAAACATTCTATTAATATATATAACATGTATCAACCGTCTCCTCATGAATATACAATTTATAAAATAAAAGAAATTTTGTGAACCGTGCGTACTGTGTAGTAAACCTGGAATGATTTAAAACCGCGTAAAAACTCATGAAAATCTCGTGCCACCTGCATTATTCTTCCCAATATAAACCAAACACGAAAACGATTAAAAAGTACCAAAAAGAAAAGAGAACTATACACCCCCGTATAAGACAAATCGCGTGTTTTAAATGACGTCATTTCCACGCGCATTTTATGAATGAATTGCGTTCAGAGCATGACGCCATTTTGTCGTTATGGATGATGTTTTAATTTCATACGCTACTGTCAGAAAAAAGTGCTAAATTGAAATATTATTATTCATAATTTCTTTCCGAAATACAATTAAAGTAATAAACAAGAAAAGGATCATACACCGACTTTCGTTAAAGACGGAATATCTAGCTATCGGAAACTGCGAAGTTACCGCCGTAAACAGTTACCCTTGAGCTAGATATTCTGGTCTGTACAAGTATCAATATTATGAGAGTTAAAATTACAACGCGACTGTCGTGTTAAAGCGATATAGTTGCTTAATCATTTTTACTATAACTATAATTAACTTAGTGAATAGAAATCTCGTGCGGAGAGTATTTAGTCGCGTGGTGTTTTAGGGCATACGCACTTTTACAAAGGGTAACATACTTATAGAAAGTACACGTTGCTGTGTTGTGTAAATTAATATTGTAAACACTATGTAGGTCAAAACATAAAATTTTGCTATCCATACTAGTAACAAAAATTGCTGCGCCAAATCGGGTTAAAGAGAGAGCCTATGTTATATTTTGTAATGCTGTGTTTTATACAACAAGTTAATAATTATGTAGATCATCAGTACATATTGTACTTCTAAATACGAGAAATATTTGAGGATATTATAATTATATTACAGTCAATTCCATGGAACTAACTTACAGAAATTTACAAATTTATATGTTTAGTTTATAAGTTGAATATTGACCCATCCTTGATTGCTTCAATTGTTATCATGCTCTTGATAAGGACCTTGGCTCCTTGTTCAGATTTACCAGTAATAGAGGTTCGTCGTTTTCGGAAATAGCGCAAAGACTTTATATCCAGATATCCAAGTTTTTGGAGAGTTTTGGTACGAATGAGTTGGCGAGCGTCATAAGAAAATTTTATTGATATGTTGTAATGTTCTGTTGCACAAATATACCGGATCCGAGATCTTTCTTTGCATTGTAACGCGTTTGCATGCGACAAAATTCGAAAATTTAACAATGCACTTGCGATTAACACTGAAGCCCTTCTTAAATTTACCTTATCTGTGGGAAACATGTATTCTGAACGCTCAATTTCAAAAGTGGTACCTTCACTTAGCTTCAAGTTCTTAAAATGGCTAAGAATTTTCCCTGTAACATTCTCGTTAGGGTCGTTGGTATCCCCTGGAATACCGGATATATCAATATGTCAAGACAAAGCCATCTACTGTATTTTTCGACCTAGCATTGCCTGTCGTAAATCAGCATGTGCTTTCATAAGGGAAGACAGCTCGTTACGCAGAGATACCGTTTCGCTGTCCACTGCTTCTTAGACTTCTTTCATGATGACATTTCTAAGTTCTAATTTTGTTTCGGCTGTCAATTTGGCTCAATAAGATCAGCTTTAAGTTTTTAACCTAATATTGACAAAGGTTCTTTAAGACCATCACGACTTATTTGCTCATACTTAAATCCAGGTCCAGGGTTTGAGGAATAGCGATATATATTGAGCAAATATACTTCATGTCACTTACACAGTAGAATCTGATACCATATAAGCAGGGTTCTGAGTATTGGCCCATCTTAATATACTCTGAAATTCACTCCTTTTCATTGATATTTCTCCGGTAAACATAAAACTGCCATCTTTTCCAACAACGAAACTTATCTTTTAAATTAAAAGGGTGTTTTTCTGTGTTGCCAATTGCACAAAAGCTTTTTCAGACTACTCTTCGGAAACGGCTGGTGCAATATCTCTAAAACTTTACAGGAATGATCAGTACCAAGTCCAGTGGTCTATATCGACGGTATTTTAGTCAAATTATTTTTGTCAGAGTAATCGCCCTTTAATGATATTTACATTACAAGTTTGTCTATACCACTAATGCAATTTCAATAAAACTTTACAGGATTGATCAGTAGCTCAAGTTCTTGCGCATATTACACGAGTTTTTTGCTTGAATGATTTTTGGCTTGGTTATAGCCCTTGAATATAAAGACAGTAATATTTTTTTGTCCAAACTACTCCTCTTATACCACTAATGCAATTTGAATGAACTTTTACAGCTCAAGTACTTGCACATATTACACAGGTTTTCCGCTTCAATTTATTTTGGTTGAGTCATGACCCTTGAATAAAAGGGGTGTTTTTTGTGTGTTGCCAGCTACAGAGATGCTTGTCTGGACTACTCCACAGAAACTACTGGTGCCATTTTATCCAAACTTTATAGGACGGATTAATATCAAGCCTAGTTGTGCATATCTCTTCATTTTTCGGTTCAGTGCTTTTTGTTATAGTCATGGCCCTTTATTGATTTTTTTTGAATTTGTCTGGACTACTCTTCTCATCATGGGGGAGGAACTGTCACAAGAAGGATGAAATTCTTTTGATAACATGCCGGGAGTTATTATAATAACTGGGACGGAATTTCTCGAAAACATTTCGGTTTTCGTCGTAAAATTTCATTGTATACTGGTAAAACACACGTGAAAAATAGTAATTTTATCTTTTAATGGGGAGTTTAGGTGCTTAATTAAACTTTGATGATTACGTTTGCCTTACAAATTGTATTTTGTGTCAGAAATAACTAAATAGTCCATTTTTGATTTTCGTCG